AGAGCGCCACCTACTGCAGACTCTGGAGAGCTCAGCTCTGTGCTGCTTTTAGAGTCCTGAGGAAAGCATTGTAATATATTAATGCATATAGCTCATCATTTTCTGTTTTGATGCTTTTCTGTTTGTTCAAATTGTTCAAACTTAGAAAATGTTACTTATGCACAATGCAAAAAAAAATCTAGTTTAAAAAAAAATGTAATTCATCACTTTTGGCTCACTTTGGCTTTCAGTCTCTCCTGATGATAACAGACGGATCTGGTTCACTGGCAGCGGCTCTAGCGCTCATGAGAGGCCTGGCTGTAACTGAACCCAATCATTCTGGACTCGTAGACCACAGAGACCACAAATGACCCTCTCCAGCTCTCTGTCCCACTCCCAGGTCAGTCTGCCAGCGCTGAACAGGGTTCAGTTCACACACTAGTGTTGATTAGATGACTGCGTTCAGGACACACTCACACCTCTGAACAAAACACACGGCCTGCTGCTGCTGCTGAGAGATCCTGGTATTTGACATAACAAATGCTGAGCGTTGTCCCCTCTTTCTTATCTGGAAATAAAATAAAATATAATATGCATGAGATGCAGAGGTACATGTATAATATTATTATATTATTCTAATAATTCATGATTATGATGATGATTTGTTTATTTATGGAAACTTATTTTCTAAGTCATAATTATGAAATAGAATCATTTTATTTGATCAAAATTGTGACAGTCATTACATATAAAGTCAAAATGTACATAAAAAGTAGAATTTTTGTTATAATTATTACTTTTTTGTCATAATTATTGCTTAATATCTCATTTGCCGTTATATCTCATAATTTTGACATCTTGTAATCATTGTGACGGTTTATCTCATAATTACATCTTTGTATCTCATAATTGTTTTTGTCATAATTTCAACGTTTTACATAATAACAATGACTGTTTATGTCATAATATAACAAACAACATAAAATATATAAGACAATACATATTATTATTATTATATTTTTATAATAAGCATTTATGGAAGTCCATTTTCTAAGTCATAATTATGAAATAAAAAGTCAAAATTGTGACATACTTGGTGGAATTTTTGTCATTATTATTATGACATTTATGTCACAATTATTACTTTTTATGTCACAATTATTAGTACTATTATTAGTAGTAGTATGTCATTTTGCTCTTAGTATGTTGTTTTATCTCATAATCTTGACCTTTTATGTCATAATTAATGTCATAATTTTGACTTTTCTATCTCATATTTAACTTTTTAAAACATCTCAACTTTTTGTAAAATTAATTTTTTTTTACATAATTTTGACTTGCGACCAAAAGTCGTGATTTTTGACCAAAACATGATTTTCTTTCTTTAAAAAAATTATAAAAAAGTTATATTATTAAATATTAAATTAAATAATAATAAAAAAATAATATTCATAATATAATACATATTGTTATTATTATTATTTGTTTGTTTGTTTATGGAAGCACATTTCCTCCCAGAAAAACATAATTATGACATATAAAGTAGAAATTGTGAGCTACCAAAGTCATAATTATGAGGTCAATTGACATAAAAATGAAAAGATGACACAAAAAGTTTGTTTTGGTCATAACTGAGTTTGTATTTCATAATTTCAACTGTCATCATTTTGACTTTTTCTAATAATTATGACTTTTTATCTCATAATAACAAATTCGTATCTCAAAATATTTCATAATTGTTTTTTTTTGTTTTTTATCTCATTATTATTTTATTTTTTTATTCTTTTTGCCATAATTTAACTTCATATCATCTTGTCGTACCGATATTGAACATGAAGGATGCGATGAAATAATTGAGCGTTACATTCAGCAAACCCTCATCAGAGTATTTCTCATCTGGTGACCCGGCCCTCGCTCTCATCAAACCCTCTCAAATCACACTCTAACTGAAGAGCACACATGCAGAATCAGATGCAGGGCTTCTGTGACACTTGGATGTGATAAACGCTGTTTCTGCGGGTCACGGCGCTGGCACAGAAAAAGCCCAGCTCTCATTCAGCTGTGACATATTTGGACGTTTGGAAGTGAAGCAGCAAAACCAGCCTTTAAATCCATCTCACTCTCCTGCAAATTACAGCTCTGCATTTTTAATTTCCTACGCAACATGCAATGCTATTCAGCAGCGTCCAAACCAAACACGGCTCCACCGTATACTGACGAACCAACTATACTGACTTTCACTGAGACGTCAAGAGTAAAACAGATCCATCTCTGTAGACAAAGAATAAACACAGTGTTTGAAATCATGAGGAATTACACTGATAATGCAGAGATAATTAGCCATTCATTCCTGAACAAAAGCAGTACAGTGTAATTTAAATGCATTGGATTTTTCAATGTCACCATATGCAATATGTTTCAATTTAGACTCAGAGCTATAGATGTGATTATGGTGGAAGATGTTTTGGATTTGATTTTGGACTCTTGGAGCCAGACTTGGTCATGAAAAAGAGCTTTCTAAACAAAAGAGTGTATTTGTTCATCTTCTTTCAATTTATTTCTTTTCCAGCTCGAGAAGGAAATGTCCGATTCACAGTAAGTCATTCTGGCAAACATGTGCTCATGGCCTCATTTGTCCATTTCTGATGCTTGTTTTGGTCTTGTTTTTGAAGGTCAGTCTTTGATGGTTTTATAAGAAACATGACAGTCTAGCGGTGTCCGTTTTTTGTAAGCAACGTAACATTGGTTCAAATCCGGATTATTTTAGAGCTAGACCTGCATTTAGCCCTGTATATATATATATATATATATATA